GCTGTGTATTCACACGGAAGGTTTTGTTAGTCACGAGGGTGGACCGTGCGATGGCTTGATCTAACGATGAGCACAGTGCCATGCATCTGTAGTCAATGTGCACGTCCTCCCCAAGTATACACTCTTCCAAGTGCATAGTACTGAGTATTGTGCGCAACTTGTTGAAATTGATTGTTCGTTTCTCTGTGGTGTTCTCCCTAGTCTGACCCTTGGTTGCTCCTGATACTGAGCGATAGATTGCAGACAGTGCTGACCAGGATGCGGAGCATATGACAGGGCAGTGGTCCGTCAGTGGCATCCCCACAATGCAATTGTCAAAGACATCAGGTGCATTTGATAATACCAAATCTAGTGATGGATTCGAATGGCTGGACGGTCGAGTGCCACAATTCTTTGACACCAGACTCAAGCCAAGATCATTGAAAACAGAATTTAGCGCACGACCGTCTGTATTTGTTCTATCGTTCGTGTTCCACTCCTCATTTCGGGCATTGAAGTCGCCTGTAACCACTAGTGGGCTGTTGTCCACCACCTCAGACAAAACCGAGAATGCATGCTTGAAAGAGGAGGTGTGATGACGTGGTGGCCGGTACATGCATGAAATAATGATACCATTGACTTGAAGTGTGATCATTTCTGATGACTGGTGCTCTAGGTCCGTGCGACGGCGTGCTGAGAGATGTGACGCACTCAGTATGGCAACTCCTCCACCTCCCAGTGTGTTCCAACTTACTTGAACACTGTCCCTGTCCCGTCGGTGAAGCTCGAACTCTGGAACTGATACTATTTCGTCGGGTGTAGTGCTATTTAGCCATGTTTCCGTCAAGCAGAGGACATCGATGTGGTGCTGCTCAATCAAGTCGATGAGTTGAACTAATGTTGACTGCATGCTGCGACAGTTCAGAGTGCATATGACCAAAGAGCCTGAATGCATGGTGCTATTCTGCAAACTAATGTTGTGGTGGAGTGGTGTAGTATGTACATGGGAAATAGAACAAGAAGAAGAAGAGGAGGGGTGCTCATCACATGCATTCATATGGGAGAAGTGAGTAAAATTATTAATGTGAGTAGTATATACATTGACAGCGGGATCACTTGCCTTTGCCACTGGGCCAGCGCTGTCCTATGCGTTGCCGTCTTGTAGGAGCTGGGCGATACGCTCATCCGGCAAAGGCACTCCTCCTTGGACTATCTTGTCGTACGGCAGCGAGCAGGTCACACCTTTCTTTCGCAGCGTCCGAAAAAGGGGAACAACAGCCTTTCTCGCCGCCTGTTGGTGCGGGGTCAGGTCGTGACCCACATACAACGGCCTGTCGAGGAAGGTCAGTTTGAACCGGTGCCGGAAAACTGCGTCCTTTATCGACATCGACGTACGGATGCGTACTGGTCGGGGGCGAGTTTCACTGTCGGTGGTGGTTGCCTTTTTGCCGATCCTCTCGATCGTGGTGTCTTCGGGAAGAGAAACACCAGCTTCTGACATCACATTCCTGCATGTTGTGGGCACTGCACTCACAGACTCAGGCAACCCGAACAAGATGATGCTATTGGATCGAGACATAACATCATGTTGCTCTTGCAACAGGGCTTGCACTTCCGCCCGTTTCACGAAATGTGTTGTTCCAGTCGCGGACTGATCATTTGCATTGGACGTGACATCATTGATCTTCGCTTTAGTGACGGCGGCAGCGTCACTAAGAGAACCGATTTTCTCGGAAAGCACTACTAGTTCTTGTCGAATCCGTTTTATGTCTGTTTCGGTATGGACTTTCACTGATCCGACATCCTCCATGCATTGCCTGATTTTCAACTCATTCTGCTTCGTGCCTTTCTCTAGGCTCTCAACTTTTTGTTTGACATTCGTCAAATCGAGCGTAATGGCTGCAATCTTCAAGGAAACATCATCGAGAGTGCCCTTCATGCTCTGTTGCCCGGCGAGAAGTTCTCTTAACAGGCTTTCAGAGGTGCTTACCGGTGCTGCGGGCGGGGTGTCCGGTATCATGGTGACGGCGTCACAGGGCGCGTCATCATCCATTAAGTCCGTGTCTCCTCGTCTTGACTTTTTCTTTTTGGCCAGGCTCTCAGTGCTGCTGCTCCCTATCAGACTGCTGCTACTGGCTGAACCAGACTGATTAACTTTGCGTTTCCTACCCAGGCTGATACCTGGTAGGGGGAAAACCTTCGACAGAGCAGAGCTCATTTTTCAACATCCGCCTCTTAAGCACCCAACAACAACCAGTACTTACTCATTGATCGCCGTCTAGTAAAAGAAGAAGATAGAGCTGTACAGGTAAGAAAGATGCAAAAACCCAAGGCTTAACACGAGCGATAGTGGGGGAGAAACTGTCTTAGCATCATACTATTCATGTTGTCTTGGTATTGGTGTGGAGTGTTCGCAGAGGTGGTTTGTAGTGCATTTTGCATTTTGAACTTTTCGACGCCTGAACGTACATGAAGAGTCTTATAAGCCATATGCACGTAGAATTGTACAGATGCACGAAATCCCGTACAATCTGGTAGATCCCGTAGACCCGGTTGGGTGTTGAATTTGCACAACCCTCTTTTGTTTACTGCTATTTCCACTAAGAAATGAGCCCTGAAGGCATTTCATAAGAAGAATTCTGACAAAGATCTAGCTAGTCATCTGTTCTAACCAAAGTGAAGAAGCTGGAAAAGCGATTGTTTGCCATTCATTATGAGGCTAAAATTGGTCAAATGCGCATGCATAGCACACGATAAACACCCAGCCATGCATAGCACACAATGAACACTGAACTGGGTCTGTACACACCTACGGTCCCAGTACAGAACTCTGTACATCTGTACAACGTGCATAAGGTCTAGTAGCGGAGGCCTGCATGACTTGTACAGTATGGGGCACTATAGGCCGATCACACTCACTGCTCGGGTCACGTGACTGTCTTCAGCAATCCATAGTTCTGAAAGTATCCTTGCGGTGTTGCATGCTTACTGTACTGGCTTTGCACAATGCAAGCATCTTCTGATGTGTGCTGGAAGTCAAGTTAGTCAGCACTTTACTTCCAGCAAATGCCTAGGCCAAAAATAGCCCAAAATAAATAAATAAATATGCAGTCAAGTGGTGTGCTTCACTGTCCGAAGAGTGCTCAATACTCAATACCCATGTAGGGCAGAGCCTTGTACACAAGAAACTTGCCTGATGATCGTAGTAATACCTGGAACTCAGAGTTGTAACAAAGCTTCCAATCTCTCTCTTGTAAATAAATATTAATATGCGGCGAATATGCGAATATTTGTTGACTTTACAGTGCAGTGTATAGCGCGTTGCTTGTTCTGTTTGTCCATGTAGACAGCCTATGCAAACATCCCAACAGGGCAATCAATACAATGTTTGTCCATGTACACAGCCTATGCAAACATCCCAACAGGGCAATCAATACAATGTTTGTCCATGTACACAGCCTATGCAAACATCCCAACAGGGCAATCAATACAAGGTTTGTCCATGTACACAGCCTATGCAAACATCCCAACAGGGCAATCAATACAATGTTTGTCCATGTACACAGCCTATGCAAACATCCCAACAGGGCAATCAATACAATGTTTGTCCATGTACACAGCCTATGCAAACATCCCAACAGGGCAATCAATACAAGGTTTGTCCATGTACACAGCCTATGCAAACATCCCAACAGGGCAATCAATACAATGTTTGTCCATGTACAAAGCCTATGCAAACATCCCAACAGGGCAATCAATACAATGTTTGTCCATGTACACAGCCTATGCAAACATCCCAACAGGGCAATCAATACAATGTTTGTCCATGTACACAGCCTATGCAAACATCTCAACAGGGCAATCAATACAATGGGCTCCAGGCCACTCAAAACAGTCACTTTGGACATGTTTCCGCACACACCGCACTGTGATGTCGCCATGCTCCTCGAGAGGGTACCATCTCCCAGGTAAGCTGGAGTTGCACTGGCCATGACTGCCACCCATGGCTGTCACCCATGACTGTCAATGCTGTATTAATTATTAGTGATGTCATCATCATCATTGATTCGTTAACCCATTCGGGTTGCTGTGGCAACAATGCCGCGCCATTCCGTCCTTGTCTAGTGATATAATTATAAGCCTAACATGTACTTTGAAGTGTCATGTTTGCCGTTTGAGTATATCTTAGCACGATCATGCCACAGATGCAGTGGTCTTCAAACCTTCAAATTTGAATTGTCTATTCAAGTAATGTTGGGAGCACTTTTTAGATTGAATAAATTCGAATAATTGAATACTGTATTTCCTCTATTATAAGTCGCAACCCATTTTCAGGTCTGAGCCAAATTGTTTCGATACATTCACATAAGTAAAAAAGTCACACTCCATTGTAAGTCTTCTTTGCCCTTGAAGTTCAGTGTAAAAAGGTGCAACTTACATTCGGGAAATACGGTATTCGAATGTTTGTTACATTCCTAATACGGGTAGATGTCTTCACCTTTCAATCTACATATAGGTGTTCATTTGTTTCTTGTACTTCAAAGTAGGCTAGTAGAAGTCAGAAAGCGATAGAGCTGTGGGATTTTAGTGTGCGGGTAGCCAAAAGCTGAGCCGTTTCAACAAAATGGCAAAGACATAGGATAAACAGACTGCGAATCAAGGACCTGCCGAAGTCGGTAGATCTGCATTCTTGCACTTTCGTCCACCGCAGACAACTTTCCTTCAGCTGTGCTTGGCCTCAGTATAGAGGCTATTTGCTTACACCATCAGCTGAACCGCTTTGTGTGCAGTGTAAAAGCTCATCTCATTCATGCTGTATACGTAGCGCGAATCCACAGGCTGTCCACCATGGTCTCTTTTGCAATTTTGCACAACCCCTATGGGGCTGTTAAGTGATGACGTCACAGTTCCTTCGATACGCATAACAACGATCCCCACTGGGGACAAACAAAAGTAGCGTCGTCTCCACCGAAACAGTTGTCAGTGGCAACATATAGGAATCGTGTACATTTCTTCGTTTCTTCTTTGCTGTTTTCAGTGAGTGTTTTGTTTTCTCTTTGTCCTTTATCTCGACGATGTTGTCGTGCTCATTACCTTACTGAGACGTCTCTTGTGACTGTAGCCAGTGTCACGGAGGATTTTATTGGCGTGACAAGGTAGATCGCCGAGATCGAGCGTGAAAAACGCTCTGCATTAGTAGCTCCTGTAGAATGTTTTCTGGGTTGGCGTATCCATGGTCAACAAAACCAAGGTGCAAGACAGCATGAGAGATCGTGTAAACGATGTGAACTCCAAAAGGTAAGCTCCTGAACAAGTGGAAAGATATGGGTATTTACTATTTACAAACTCTCTCTTCATCCGTCGATTGCCGCTATGCATTGCATTTTGTCTTCACAGATAATCTGGCCAAATTTATTGTAACTAGAGAGTGCAATCGTGCTTGGGGCCCATCCCAATGTCATCACATGGCTGTGGTGACTAGTCTATATCTGGGAGAATTTTTCCTCGACTGATACGGAGTGCAGGTGGATCGATTATGAGAAATGCGAACATGTGAAGTAAGTAATTAGTTGTGTCGAAGAAATGTGCAATAAAATAAAATTTACTTTACACTCAAACATACACTGTAGATGTACATGTAACATCATGATAATGATTCCATCTTCATTGTCCCGCAGCTGGTACACCATACGCACCGAATACATGGTGTGTGTGTGTGTGTGTGTGTGTGCGCGCGCACATGTACATGCACACACTCTCATGCGTGGCCGAGTCGGCCAGATGAACAGACCATGCATTTGCACGAGGTGTCCGTAATGTCATTGGAACGCTGTACTTTATGACTTTATTCCAAAAGAGTATGTCTTGCCCCTGACGAATGGAGTTGTGTCTGTGCTCAGCGGGTATCGGGCTATAACGCAACACTGCAATCAGCGCTGCAATTAAAAGAGCACTGCATGGATTATTTTGACTAACTTCCTTTGCGTTTACTTGGTTGAGCCCGTGGTTTCATTTCTGTGTTCTGTCATGATTGGCCTCTGGAAATAATCAGAGTGGATGTCATTTTGCCATATATGTGTGCCCTGCGCGACAGGTTCAAGGCTAGATGCACTTCACATTCGGCGGGCGATCTCAGCGTCTGGGACCTGATGAAGTCTTGGTTGAATGATTATTCAAGCCTGATACTACTCGACACACCAATGTTCATGTCTATGTAATTTTTTCAGAGCTGCACTATTTACGTGTTGATGCTTACTTCGGTGTTAGCGTGTTTCCCCCGGATTGTTTCTATCATCATGATCGTGTGTTCTTGGGCTGAGCGAGCACATGCACAAGTGTGCAGCTATAACCCTGTGTATCTGTGGTTACACTTTGTTCTGCAATGCATGTACCTTGTAACATTATGTGCTTGCACTGTTTTTTTCTGGCCTGCGTATTTCAGGACTATTCAGTGCATTAGACCCAGGTTTGTTTGGTTGCCGGATGATCCCTTGTTGCGTCGCTCTGTATTTGTATTCAGCAATTTTTGGGCTTGAGAATTGAGCTATTGTGTGGTTCCCAATATGAAAACATCATGCTGGTGCTCTGTGTTTCGATTATTGACTGTCGGAGCAGTCATGCATTTATTAGCAGAACGGTCAATACTGTAGTCTATTCACGTGTTTGTCTTTTTTGTGTTTTCGCCGGGGGTATTAGAGAGGTTCCGCACTACGTAAAGTTGAGCAACTTTACGTTAGTGGGTGGGAAAAACCCGTGAATTCGCGAGTTTGCACTCCACTTACGGAAAGTTGTCTACGGAGAGTACGTAGATAGGGCTCTGATAACGTAGCTGGTCCGTAAGTGGATTGGGGTACAAATTTATGACTCTCTCCCCAGGTCGATCTGGTCGTACACTGCCGCGTTCGGAGTTGCCAAGGGCAGCTACGTGATTTGAAAACTCCGTATGGCGGAACCCAGATCCGCATGCAGTTTACGTAAGACTTTCCGTAGATCGACTACGTTTTTTACTAACGTAATTACGTTATGCGGAACCTCTCCATTAGCGGTAACGTTGCACACAGAACGGCAGTGTTGCATCACTGGACGACCCTGCCTCTGCATCTGACTTAATTTCCCCAGGATCTGGTGCAGTTACACCAGACAGCCACTTCCTGTAAACACGCAAACAGCAAAAGAAGAGATCCCGCAAATCAAGAAAAACCATTGTGGAAAATATAGAGTAGATCATACAACATTCAATAATCTGGAGTAATTACAGTGAGACAAACACTTCAAACAGTGCTCTCTCTCTCTCTGTCTCTCTCTGTCTCCATCCTTCCAAAAATACCCTATGACAATTCCCTAGAATTATTTTATTTTATATTCTTAGGACATCATTCTGAACATAATAAATTCTTCCATGGGACTTCAATCACCACGGAGGGCGAAAATATATCTAAGTCATGCAGTTTACGGGAGGTGCGAGCTGTCATGGATATAGAGGCTGATATTGTGCCAGCGTGAGGGCAGAGACAGAAAGAATACACAGATTTCTTGAACAACTCACCTATAATTATAATCGAATCCACAAGGAGCGCTCATACTTTGATCCATCAGGACGCGAAACATCTTCAAAGCACTCTCAAACACCGAGTTTTACTGTGGGCAGCCAATTTCACAGCCATCATGAAGGCACTCGACGACTACAGGAGTTTTGTAGAGGAAAGAACAAGGAGCAAAGATCGACAACAATCGCTTGAAGAAAAAGCAAAGAAAAACTGCTGTCTCTCCACTCATTTAGATGCTGTTGCCCTTGACATCTGATTCCATCCAGAGGACGCGACTTTTGTTTGTCCCCAGTGCTCTCCGTTGCTATGCGTATCGAAGGAGCCGTGACGTCACACTTAACAGCCCCATTCCCTTCTCAGGTAGAATAAGGACACTTTTCTGGTGCCGCTGTACTTCGAGATCATGGCTGTGATCGCCATGGTGATATTTGGTCGATGTCATGTGATCGGCGTGATCTGCGCGTGATTGAAGCGCCATCACGAACCAAACTACTACGTAGCTGGGAACGCGCACGCGCATGCACGCCAAACAGTTTTCTGCTACACCTCGTGTTTTTGAAATGCAGATTTTCGGCTAGCTGGATCGCGATCGGGAGACGACAAAGAAGAAACGATCTTGTTGTGACTATACTTTGCGCTTGTCGTCGACAACAGTCTTTGTCATTGACATTGTTGTTTGTCTTTTGAGCGTCCACTCTGGCCAACTCCTTTTTTCCTGAACCGGGTTCCACTGCTTCTGGGGTGTTCGTCTCGCAACCAGTAGCACCAACATAATCTTCTTTTGAGTAAACATGTTCAGCCATCTGCTGCTGTGTCGGGAAGGATTTGGAGGAGTATTGCTGGTCGTATGGACCTGGAGCAGTGGAGGCGATGTCGTGAAGAAGGTACGATTTATTTTATTGTTTGTGGGCTTGTTCGTTCTTGCCTTCATTGTTGCGAGGTCTGCAGCTAAGTGGTACATGTTTGTAGATCGGCTATTTGTGTATGTTCTGTAGATAATGTCAAAGAGATAATGAACTACAATGTTACGTTGTATATGGAGCCATTCGGCACAGTGATCTTGTATACTAAAGGTGTAGAACTGCCAGGCTAGAATCTATCCCCGTGAATTGCGCGGACAAAACTTGAAAAAACAATCGTGCAAGCGCCGCCATATACAGGTAGTTCAAGCAAATGCGCCACCGAATCGTACACCTGAGAACATCTCTTCAGATCAGGGCAGGGAATAGCTGAACTTTACTACTCCCTGCTTCAGGCAGTCTACTATAATGACTGTAGTCTGGTCTTGGCACATCATCTGCAATGTAGTCCTCGGCATCACCAGGATTACCAGTACAGCTGTAGTGTGTGTACAGCTAGCAAGTGATAGCATGTGAATCGACGCATGTACGAGTACTCTGCATACATCATGTAAACCACTGCTACAGTCCATTCATAAAAAGATGGGCGGTGGCTCTAGTGAGCTCCCGTATTTTGTTATCATTCATGATTTTATCCTGCACGATGCAGTGCCGCGAAATTTAAACAAGGGCTATAAACAGGTACCTCGCCTGGAGTTCGAGCTGCACAATGTACTGTTGCACGTGGAGTGAAACGGCCTGGACTTTCATGGTTTTGCCCAATTCATTGCTTTTACGACAAAACCTGGCTGCAATCCTACTGTAAGTCAACAAGTATTTGGCGCAGATATATTTTCGGCCTGAGCACATCGGTATTTGGCCGAAAATTTGTTGCAGTCGAAATTTTGTTTTGCAAGGTTCAGTGTGACAGTGTATACAGGCAGCAGCGGTACATGCCGAATTTGTTGCAGCCGAAATGTGTGTTTAGCCCTGGGAGGCCGCAATTTGAATAGGCCGAAAATTTGTACACTTACAGTATTCTTCTTACGGCTTGCTCTTTGGAGAAATAGACTTTCAGAAACATAATTGGAAGACCGCGGTGGGGCTCTAAGTTTTTCTTATGACATTTTACCAGCCTCCGCGAAATCAAAATCCTCGTTGTTCTGGCCTCTCGTGTACAAAACAATGCAAAGTACGGGAAACTGGCCGCGATCGCGGCTCACAGTTTTGATCAAGCAGCGTAGCGAAAGCTCGGCGTGAGCCGCGGCCTCCCTGCGCCAGCCCGAGCCGCGGTCACTATCGTAATGATGACGTTTCATGCCGCAGATGATGTGCAGCGAAGCCGCAGTGGAACCCGGCCCTTATGGGTGGACTGCAACCAAAGATGCAGCGCGCTGGTTATTGCGCACACTATCCTCGATCTGGACACATGTGCACTAAGAAAAATTAAGAATCATGCGGTGTCAATGTGGAAGAAAATGCGATTCATATTCAGTTCCTATTATTATTAAATTATTATTATTATTACTTCAAAAGTGATTAGAAGCGGTGAGGCCTCCTGCAGTTTCATACAGAATTACAGATGGAGCGGACTCGCTCCCTTCTATTTACACTGCAACGTTCGAACACATTTTCGTAGTTAAAACAACGTTTCGGCATATAGCCCTCATCAGGTTTGCAATGATGTGCACTCTACAAAGGAGCAGCAAATATACTGTGCTGTGCTGTGTTTGCGCCAAATGTGTCAGCTACAAAGGTGGCAAAAGGGATTGGTGATATATTAATATCCAGATACGATATATTCACAGTAGTGCCCAGCCAGCATTAGTGTTTACTTGCGGCCGCAAGTTGCGGATTTCAACAGCTTCTCGCAGTTTTCTGCTTGCTCTGTCGCCTGCCCTTGCCAGGACTGACACAGCCGAGAACACACTATCCGCAGCAGCTATACTCTCGCCAGAATGTTTGTCGCGCACGTGGTCACCCCATGGCTTATCGAGAGTGCGACGGCGTGCCTCGCCATTGTGCTCCCGAATTCTTGTTTCCAAGGAGCGTTCCGTCTCCCCAACATACGTTTCCCGGCACCATTTGCATTGCAATTCGTAGACTACATTCTTTGTCATACATACTCGTTCGCCTCCAGACTGACAGGTAATGCAAGGCCCTAGTGGACGTCCTCTTCGTCTTTTTTCAGTAATGTTGGGCTCGTTTACGCACTTGGGTGGTAACAGCGCCGAACGGCACAGTTGACGCCTGAGGCTGCCCGAGTGCTCGTATACGACACGTACCGGCAACTTGTATTTCCGTTTTGCTTTGTTCACATGGTGGTGTACTTCATCGGACTTGAACGGTAGTTTAAGGAAGGCAGAGCGAGGATTACCGCGTCGTCTACGCCGAGGTTTCCTGGCAGCTTCCCTTGCTTCCGATATGATACTGGCTGGGTAGTTATTTATGCGCAGTTGTTTGTGTATTTTTTGTTCGCTCTCGGCTTGCATCATGGGGTTAGACGATAGTCGCTGAGGGCTATATGCCGAAACGTTGTTTTAACTACGAAAATGTGTTCGAACGTTGCAGTGTAAATAGAAGGGAGCGAGTCCGCTCCATCTGTAATTCTGTATGAAACTGCAGGAGGCCTCACCGCTTCTAATCTCTTGGTTCTCCTCTTCTAGGAGCGAGGCGCCATGGCGATACTTGCAATGGGGGTGCAAACTCCAGAGGAGCCAGTGCCAGTTGTCGTTTCTTCTTCAATGCCGGCGGGAGCGTATCATCCCACGGTTCATCACGCATTCGGTTCGGCCACCTCCAGCCTCAAGGCACAAGAGTGTTCGACAGCAAAGACGCTTCCAGTACTGTCTCCGACTTCTGAGCGACGCAATACAGGACAAGTGCGCAGAAAGGGACTTCCGTACAAGACAGTGCCGGTACTTCTGCGAACAGCTTTGGTCGTTTTCCAGGGAGGATTACGTGCGTATTCGCGCCCTGCGGCGCTGTGTGGT